AAAGAAAGAAAGAAAAGATTTAATGACAACAAACTCCAGAAATCATAGTTCTGGTTTAATCAATCATTTCCAGGGCTGGAATTTAGCCACCCAGGCTACTGGTTTATACCTATAATTCTGCTTATGGAAGATTGCAGTTACATTAATCTTCCCAGAGATTACATCTTCCAGTAACATCCCTAGATGTCTCTAAAAGAAAATCTCAAACTCATCTACCTCTGCCTTTTCATTTTTAGAGAGCAACYGTGTTGGGTAATTTCACTACCAAAAGCAACTAAAAGTGACAGCTTTGTACCGAAAGAGCTTGCAAACACCAAAAGCATCCGTTCCATCCTAACATAGTGACTGGGAAGGCTTCGGAATTGGGTCAGGATTTTTTTGTTGTTGTTGTCCTCCCMACTACCTTCTCCTGATAGCTTCTGCCATCAGAAATGATTCGCATGCTGATTGTACAGAAATGTACCATAAGAAGATGTAAACAAATACAGCAAAGCAAGGCGAGGAGCCAGAGTGACGGAATCTAATAAGTAAATAGCTTTTAAAAATCCCCTTCTCTGAGTCTCACCCTCGGCAGGCAGAGCCACAACTTCCCCCGGCGACAGAAAAAGCACCGGCACTTCCCCCGTCAGCACCACCGAGAGCGCCCTCCGCAGCGCCCGGCGGGGCAGGCGGGCGCCGAGGGCTCCGACCCGCGCCCCGTCTCCGGCGCGGAGCCTTCTCAGGGCCGACCCCGCAGCGCCCCGGCCGTGCCGCAGCGCCGGGAGAAGTTCGGCAGAGGCAGCCAGGAAGCAGTGCATTTACAGCTGCGGGCTGCGCCCGGGGGCACGGGGGGCTCCGGAGCGAGGAGCCGAATGTCCGTGAGCTGCAGGAGGAGGGGGCCCGGAGGGAAGGCGGGTGGGGAGAGAGGGAGGGGTGGGTGGCGAGGGGTGCTTCTCCCCTTACCTGGCCAAAGACCGAGCTGAGCATGGGGTGCAGCTGCTGGATGAGGGGATCCGCTTCCACTGACCGATCGCTGCCGCTGGACTTGGTGGAGCACTTGCTGCTGGATTTGGACAGAGGTGAAGCGCCTTCCGAGAGCTTCAGGGACTCTCTGCTGGACCTCTGCCTGTGACTGAAGAAAAAGTCCTCCTCTGCCTCCTCCCCATCCCTGTCTGAGAGCTGATGCTGGTCCTGGGGGTGACCGTGGCTGGCGTGCGGCGGGAGGTGGTGATGCTGCCTGGATGTCCGCACCGGTTCCTTGCCGCTGCCTCTCCTTGGACCTCCTTCCGCCGGCTCGGGCTGGCTCTCCCCCCGTCCATGTGACAGCTTCCCCGCGCCCCTCGCTCCGTCCTCCCGGGCGCCCGGGTGGCAGAGCGGCCTGCGGGCACTGGGCTCCCCGGGGAGCTGCTCCTGGCTTAGCTCCCTCCCCATCTGCCCGCCTTGTCCTTTGCCGTCCCGGACGCGGCTGCCGCGGGGCTGGGGTTGGCCGCCCGCCGCCCGCCGGCTCCCCGCCGCCTTCAGCAGCGAAGTGCGGGACTCGCTYTTCGCCATGGAGGAGCCGCTCATCGCGGGGCCGCTAGAGCCGCATCCCCGGCCGGGCGGAGCGCTGCCGCTGCGGGCAGGGCTGCGGCGCGCTGCTCACGGCATGTCCTGCGGAGACCCGCTTAAATCCCGCACCGCGGCCCATGTGACAGAGCAGACAAAGGCCGCGGCAGGGGCGCTCCGGCGGGGGCTGGCGGGCACCGTCCCCCCCCTCCGGGGCTCCCCCACCCCGCGCCGCCGCCGCCTCCTCTCCAGGTGAGCCGGGGCCTCCCCC